CCTGGCAGCCGGGGGGGGGGGCTCAGCGTGTCGTGGGAGCCCCCGGGGTCTCACCACTCAGTGGCCAGTCTGATAATGCACAGCGTAGCACCCACCTTGGGTTTCTCACTTTTCCAGACTGACTTAATGAAGCCAAGTTTGCAAATGAAACATAATTTCAAAGACAGGCATGTTGTCGGAAGGTCTGGGGATGATGTATGCCTGTTCCTTCTCGTTAGCAGCTGTCTCTTTAATTACCACAGATGCTAACGAGATGCTAACAACATATGGTGACAGGAAGAGCAGCCACACTTTGCACCAAAGTACAATTTATTTGTGAGGCGGCCGGGAGGGAGGGGTGAGGGCTGGTGGGGTAAAATCTGCTGGGACTTCTCTCTGTCCTCTCTGCTCCCATCGTAACCTTTTTTCTCCCTTAGGGCTGATGCCTGTGTCTGGAAAAGATGATTAGGATGCATCTCAGGGGAGAGGTTTGGGCCCTGGGTAATAGAGGTGTCCTCTTCCAGCCCCCTTTCACCAACTCATGGTTACAGGCTGGTTGGTGCCTCCAGCCTTGGTGGGTCCTTTGCTGTCCATGGGTTGCTGCAATACCACCATCTTTGGGAGAAGTGTCTGGTCCAATTCCCTTTTCCCTTTCTGCCACCTATGAAATAAATGCTGATGTGGCTTTGGCTGGTGGCTAAAGCTGGCTGTGACTCTAGGAGTTTGGCAGTCAGAACATGTAGATGGCAAACCTGCAGGAAACCTCGTTGCCTGGTCCCATCCATGAGCTGAAGGCTCAGGGTAGGGTTTGTAAGTGAGTTGCTCTCTTGCTCTTCCTTCTGGCTAGCTGTGCCCAGAGAAGCCTCCTTTGACTTTCTCTCATGTGAAACTGGGCTCCTGGCAGATGCCAGAATGGGGCAAGAGCCCCCAGGCTGTCCCACTGCAGTGTGCCCTTTCTAGTCCTCAGGTGCTTCTCTTGGCTCAAAAGATAGACTGTATTGCATACATAAAGTCCCCAGGCCTAATTTGCTCTTCCCTAGCCTTGAATTTAACCCTTTAGCTTTTTTTTGGGGTGTAGAATGAACAGAACACACTGGGAATTGTCTGGAAACTCTGGGAAGCGGAGCCTAGGGGCTGATAGAAAAGGGAACTTGCAGTGGGCTTGGAAGGAGAGAATAAGTTCCTCTATGAGCTGAATTTCACCATGTGCCCCTTTCCTTGCAGTCTAGAGCAAAGGCTGTAGACTCTGTGAGGCCACCTATGGGGCTCCATGCTGGAGGGCCACAGCAGGCTCTTGACACAGTGGTCGTTCTTGAAAGGCAAAGCTGATGTCTGGTACCTTCTTACCACTCTCTCTCCTCCTCCTCCATCTCTTTCCCACAGGAGTGTGCTGGGGAACCACTCTTCATGCTCTACTGTGCCATCAAGCAACAGATGGAGAAGGGACCCATTGATGCCATCACAGGAGAGGCTCGCTACTCCCTCAGTGAAGACAAGCTTATCCGGCAGCAGATTGACTACAAGATGCTGGTTAGTGCGAGCAGAAGCCTCACTAGTACTGGCACTTGTCAGGACTGCTAGGTCCAGATATTTATAACAAGAACTTGGAGGCACCCAAAGTGCTTTTCAAAGAGTGGCTTGTCTTGTTCTTCTCTGGCATCCCTGGGGTGCCTCTTGCCCTGTCTTTGTGGTGTCCACCTCAGCTACCTTTGCAAACAGGACCTTTACCTGGCAAGGTTTGCTCTTACCATAGAGCTGAGAAAGTCAAATAGGAACCGAATCCTCTTCCATGCCTCCCCTAGCAAACCTCAGGGCCACGTCACATATGGGGCCAGAGATGCTGTTCAGCGTATGCTGCCTGATGCAGACAGCAGCTTGTGTTCATGGAAATGGAGAGATATGTCTCCTCCTTGATTTGAGCCATCCTCTGTC